TGGAAAGGGACTGGATTGGGTGGGAGACATAAGTACAGATTCATCTGGCAAACGCTACTCGGATAAAGTCAAGGGACGGTTCACCATCTCCAGGGACAATTCCAACAGCCTCCTCTATCTGCAAATGAACAACCTGAAACCAGAGGACACAGCTGTGTATTACTGTGCAAGACACACAGTGAGAGGAAGTGACTCTGCAGCCAAGCAAAAACCCTCCTTTGCCCACAGACACTCTCTGAGTTTTTTGTGCCCTTTAGCATGCCAGCACTTCCCCACCTGTTTGTTATTTAAGTCTCTGAGGCAAAAGACATATTTAAGGTCAGGATTTTACATGGCTTAAACCAGCATATTGTGGTTTGATTTTTGCTTCTATCCCTCTTTTACATGAACTATATAACACACAGGATGCTCACTGATTATTATTATTATTATTATTATTATTATTATTATTATTATTATTTTAAGTTAGGGTCTTTTTATTGCTCAAAGAGGACCAAAGAGGATGCCTTGACATGTAAATAGGAAATGTTTCTGAACATGCATATATATGCAGTCATGAGACCATGTTTAATGACACCCCATGTAAACACAGCTTTTATATTTCTCATTTGCCTATTAGAAAGACAGGATTCCCCATGCTTTGAGAAGAGGAAGAACAAGGAGTTATGAGAATGTTGTGTCATGTGCTCTACATTAACATGGGATTCTTATACATATGCTTTTTGTGTTGTTGTTTTTTATTTATTTAAAGCCTTTAAGAGAGGGTATTCCACAAACATTTCATTTCTTTGCTGAGCTGTGATCTACAGTGTTTCTTCATACTTAATCTAAATTTTCTTCCACTTCATTTGACCATTTCACAGTGAGGCCAAAGTCTCCTCCACAGCCACTGTGACCAGTCAAGACCTCTGACGTACTTAATGTTTTAACTATTTGTTTTTTTTATTTTAAGTTGTATTTTAATCTTGTGAACCATCCTGAGGTTTTATGATGGAAAGTGAGATATAACTATAATAAAATCATCACCATCATCATCATCTCTCGAACTTCAAAATGGCTACCCCTAGGATGAAAGGCACTGGAGTCCCAAAGCCTTTCATCCTTGCTGAGGAAGCATTTTTTAAAAAGACTCTTGATGTGATTTCATGACGGGAGAAAAATAAGAAAGGTGTTGCATTTGGGAGTGTGGTGGGCATTCGAGGGATGAATGAAGGGAGGATGAAAATAATAATAATAATAATAATAATAATAATAATAACGCCAGTCTATAGACTGATACACCACAACCAGCAGTTTTAAAGCATAAAAGAAAGAAAAATCATACCCAGTATATTAATTTCTTCCAAAACCTTCCTCCAACACAAACGTCTTCGATTGAATTTTACATTCCGTTTTTGCCCCCTCCCTTAGAACTCCACTCTGTGTGCATTTGTCTGTGTGTGTTTGTGTGTGCAGGGGAGAAAGAGGAAGCCAGCAGCAAAGCCTGACCCCCCAAACTGCTTTTATCTGCCTCATGTGCCTCACTGGGGAGGTCTCATGTAAATACCACCAGCAAGTTGGGAGTGGTTTCAGATGAAAAGCCCTGAATATAAAACCTTCACTTGCTTCCCAGCCCAGAGTCCCCTCTTTCCTGTATCTCTAGCACATTCATTCATCAACATTATGGAGTTCTTGTTGCTCTTGGTTTTTTTGGTGGCTTTTTCTAAAGGTAAAGGAAGTTCTGCAATGCTAATTTACTTTATGTAGTAATTAGATGACGTCCAATCATTCATTGCTCTCTTTTCTCTTTCCAAGGGGTCTTCTCAGACATTCAGCTTGTATCATCTGGACCAGGAATAGCGAGACCAGGAGAGAATCTCAACCTGCTTTGTAAAGTCACAGGTTTCTCCATCTCTACTCGGTACTATGGGTGGCATTGGATCCGTCAATCACCTGGGAAAGGTCTGGAATGGATTGCAAGGATATACCCCTATGATGGAAACAAAAGATATGCCCCTTCCCTGAAGAGCAGAGCAAGCATTTCTTCAGATGCCTCAAAGAATGAGTTCTCCCTCCAGCTGAACTCCCTGACAGCTGCAGACTCCGCTGTGTATTTCTGTGCCCGAGAAGACACAGTGAGACAAAGCCTATTGGGCCCTGTTCAAAAAGTAGAAGTCCTGCTTCTATCAACAAATACACTGTGAAAACAGTGACAGAGCAATTCTACATTCCACAGATGATGCGGAACAACATCCAAACTGCCTGCCTCTTCAATCTGCAACTTAATCCAGAAATGATTATACTGATGGAAACCTGCAGAAGTGACCCACAAAGGAGGTTGACCAATGTGGATCAGTACAACGCTGTACAAAAATACTTTGCTGCAGCATCTCCCCACCACCACCACTTAAATTCAACATCCAATTTTGCAAATGCATGATTGTTTGTGTTTTGTCTGCTCATACCTCTGAGTTATGCTTAAGGCTGGTGGCGATAGACCTTAAGTAGAAATGTGGAATTTTTACAAAATTGTGAATTGGCCATTGTGTCTTTCTTCATCATTCCATCATCCCTTGGCATGGCGTGAAACCTCCTCTGCAGCACAAAGAACCTGGGAAACCTGGGTTCAAATCCCTACTTGTCCATGAAGCTCACTGGATGATCTTGGGTCAGTCACGGCCTCTCAGCTTGACTTACCCTACTGGGGTGTTGAGGGGAATATATGAGCAGGGGGATAACATGTATAGCACCTTGAATTCTTCAAGGGAAAAGCTGGGATAAATTGCTATGAATGAATAGGATAAATTCCATGGGAATGTTCTTTATGTTAATGCCTGCTTGCCACAGTCAAGCAGGTGGAGCTGATCAGATTACTCATATCCACACACTTACCTCTCCATTGTGGTGAGGAGAAGAATCACATTTGGAAAACGTATGGTTTGGCAGATCTGTTCAGCAATGGTGTCTTCTGTGGAATGTTAATATGTGAATTAACTGAAAGAATAAAAACATTAAAATATCAAGATCTAATACTTAAAATGTGTTTTGGGTGCAATTACAGGTTTGGTGCTGCTTTGCTCTTCCCAATATCACTAGAAAGGTCTAAAGGAGAATTTGGCTTCACTGGAAGGAAAACCCATTAATCTCTACCAAATGTCATTTTGCACATTAAGCATCTAGTCACAAAAGCAGACCTCTTCCGTCTCTTGATTCTCACAAGGGAGCAGTCATGGTGCAAAGATGAGAAAATGCCCTATCTGCCAGGACTGAAATAAAATGCTGCTCGAACTACGGTTGGTGATTTCATCTGTAACGCAATAACTTTCTCAGATGTTTCCTGGTCAACCAACTTTCTATGAGCCCCCTGAGACTTTGAGTCCCTGAGAAACTTTCAAGCAATTATCTCTGTGCTCTCAGCTCATGGGCAACAGTTTGTGGGGAAGAAATCCATGGCACAATCTTATTTTCTACAAATATGGATGTCCTGTAGATTGAGGGCATGTGTAAACAAAATATTTGTAGTACAGCAGACCTTCCAACCACCCTACTTTGAGCAGAACATCCCAGATCTACAGCAGCCACCCTGGCTTCTGTTTAAATGCCCCACTTCCTCAGCCACCACCACAGTCAGGCCAAAGTCTCCTCCACAGCAGCTGTGACAAGTCATGACCGCTGATGTACTTAACGTTTTAACTATTTATTTGTGCTTTATATTGCATTTTAATCATGTGAACCATCCTGAGATTTTATGATGAAAAATGATACATAATTATAATAATAAAATAATAATAATATTCATCATCATCATCATCATCTCTCAAGCTTCACAATGCCTACCCCTAGGATGAAAGGTGTGGTACTCCCAAAACATTTGGATGAGTTTCCCCACCCCTGTCCAAATACAAATGCTTGTGAGGAGGACTCCTTCTTAATTCACCCAGACAACCTCCGTGCGCCTGCGACATCCTGAGCCACAACCCTTGTGTGCTTATGACTTCTTGTCAGTCAACCCCTCACCAAACAAAAGGGAGGGAGGGGGTAGAATTGGCTCAACTTTGTCTCTTTCCTTTGCCTATGAAGGCAAATTGCCTCCTTTCAAATGTAGAGGGCTATTCTAAATATTTATGCAAATGAAACTTTTAAATATCTTCCTCCTTGCAGAGGAAGGATTTTTTAAAAAGAGACTCTTGATGTAATTTCACGGGGGGAGATAATAAATAATGGTTTTGTATTTGGGAGTGTGGTGGGCATTCCAGTGGTGAATGAAGGGTGCACTGGAGTGTGAATATAAAGATGGAACCTATATTTTTACATTTTCTTTTATTTATTTAAAATTCCTCTACTCCATGTTGCCACAGCAGAACTCCCTCCCAGCAATTTGTTTTCACATGCTGCATTTGAAATTATAATTGCATCACACCAACAGCATCTCTATAGGTGCATGGCGAAGGGAGGCTGAAATGATGATGATGATGATGATGATAAATGCCAGTCCCTTGAACTTTCCACCACAACCAGTAGTTTTAAAGTATAAAAGAAGAATGCTTCCCCAGTTCATTAATCTCTTCCAAACCTTCCTCCAACACCAACGTCTTTGAGTGAATTATGCATTCCATCTATGCCCCCTCCATTAGAACTCCACTCTGTGTGCATTTGTCTTTGTGTGTTTGTGTTTGTGCGGGGAACAAAGAGGAAACCAGCAGCAAACCCTGATCCCCCAAATGGCTTTTATCTGCCTCATGTGCCTCACTGGGGAGGTCTCATGTAAATACCACCAGGAAGTTGGGAGTAGTTTCGGTTGAAAAACCCTGAATATAAAATCTTCACTTGCTTCCCAGCCCAGAGTCCCCTCTTTCCTGTATCTCTAGCACACATTTATTCATCAACATTATGGAGCTCTTGTTGCTTTTGTTTTCTTTGGTGGTGCTTTCTAAAGGTATGGGAAGTTCTGCAAATTAATTTACTTCATGTGGTGATTTGATGACGAACAACCATTCATTGCTCTCTTTTCTCTTTCCAAGGGGTCTTCTCAGACATTCAGCTTGTATCATCTGGGCCAGGAATAGTGAGACCAGGAGAGAATCTCAACCTGCTTTGTAAAGTCACAGGTTTCTCCATCTCTACTGAGTACTATGAGTGGCATTGGATCCGCCAAGCTCCTGGGAAAGGTATGGAATGGATTGCAACGATATATCCCTATGGTGGAGGAACAGGATATGCCCATTCCCTGAAGAGCCGAGCAACCATTTCTTCAGATGCCTCAAAGAATGAGTTCTCCCTCCAGCTGAACTCCCTGACAGCTGCAGACTCCGCTGGGTATTTCTGTGCCCGAGGAGACACAGTGAGACAAAGCCTATTGGGCCCTGTTCAAAAAGTAGAAGTCCTGCTTCTATCAACAAATACACTGTGAAAGTTTTGACAGAGCAATTCTACATTCCACAGATGATGCGGAACAACATCCAGACTGCCTTCCTCTTCAATCTGTAACTTAATCCAGAAATGATTATACTGATGGAAACCTGCAGAAGTGACACACAATGGAAATAGACCAATGTGGATCAGTACAGCACTGTATAAAATGACTTTGCTGCAGCATTTTTTTCCTACCATCTAAAATCAATATCCAGTTTTGCAAATAGATGATTATTTGTGTTTTGTCTGCTCATACCTCTGAGTTATGATTAAGGCTGCTGGCGATAGACCTCAATGAGAAATGTAGACTTTTTACAAAATTGTGAATTGGTGTATTTCTTCATCATCCCATCATCCCTTGACATGGCGTGAAACCTCTTCTGCAGCACATAGGACCTGGGAAACCTGGGTTCAAATCCCTACTTGTCCATGAAGCTCACTAGATGACCTTGGGTCAGTCACAGCCTCTCAGCCTGACCTACCGTACTGGGGTGTTACAGGAAATATATGAGGAGGGCGATATAATGTATTGAATTCGAGGGAAAAGCTAGAATAAAATGCTGGAAATAAATATTATAAATTCCATGGGAATTGTGTTTATGTGCATACATAACACTTATTCCCCAACACCTACCTCTCCATTGCGTAGACAGGCGGAGTCCCCAGATCCCGCGCGGTCCCACCGTCATGTGGAATAACGACTCATGACAACGTGCTACGGGATTAAATTGGCCACAACTTTATTAAATTTCAAATGTGGGTAGACCTTGGCTCAGGCATTGGGCGTTCTCCCTCCCCAGTCCCCAGACGGGGACCTAGGGAGCATCAGGGTTATCCAGTGTGTGTGGGGGGGGGGATGGGCCGGCTCTGGAGAACATATGTTCAAGCAGAGATAGCCGCCCCCATAATGCCGCCGCCGCAGGGGAGAGCAATGACGACCTTTCGGCGTACGGTCAAAGCCTCCCTTCAGAAACCCCTTTAACGGGGAACCCTGGTATCGCCGCCGCAAAGAGGAAGATGGACTAAAGGATTCCACCCAAGGCCTGATACCGCCAAAGTTGTGACATTTTGCTACGGGAAAGGCGAAACCTGCCAATGCAGGGAAATTCCTTTCCGGCCCTTTAACAGCGACCTTAACGTAGCAGCGCCCGCATACCTGCGAAGAAAAGTTAACCTGCAAAACCTGTGAAGAAAAGTTAACCTGCAAATAAGACATTAACTGAGGGTGGGTAGGGTGGGAGAAGCTCTGGAGCCAAGTGAGGATTCCCAGGTAAGATCCTCCCTCTATTGTGTGGGCAGGTAATCCCTCCCCCTATCTGGCCTGGTCTGCTTGGCAACGCTTCCCCCAGGTGGGATTGGACAACTGAATGAGGTAGGCGGAGACCTCCAGGTATCCCACCTGAGGGAAGGCAAACCAAGCCTATGCTGTTGGAGCTGCTCCAGATCTAGGGGCTGCGTGCATCCACGCAAAGGGCGCCCCCCGTTTTAAGCGGGGAGCGGTCATTGTGGTGAGGAAAATAATCAGATATGGAAAACATATGGTTTGGCAGCTCTGTTCAGCAATGGTCTATTCTGTGGTATGTTAAGAGAAGAATTAACTGAAAGAATAATAATTTTAAAAATCAATCTCTAATACTTGAAATGTATATTAGTTGCAACTACATGTTCGGTGCTGCTTTTCTCTTCCCCATGTCACTAGATGGTATACCCACAAATCTATGCCAAATGTCATTTTGAAAATTAAGCATCTTGTCAGAAACCAAGACTCCTGGAATTATATTCCACCTCTTCCTGTTCCCCACAAGAGTGAAACGATGGTGTCAAGAACAGAAAATGCCAATGGAAGGAGGTGTGGTCCAGTCAGACAATATTCAGATGTCCTCTACTGATGCCTTTATTTTGCTTGTTTTTGTCAAGACTAAAAAAGGACTGCTTGCCAACACTTGATAATGATGGAGAGCAAACATGGTGTAGTGGTTAAGAGCGGTAGACTCGTAATCTGGTGAACCGGGTTTGCGTCCCCGCTCCTCCACATGCAGCTGCTGGGTGACCTTGGGCTAGTCACACTTCTCTGAAGTCTCTCAGCCCCACTCACCTCACAGAGTGTTTGTTGTGGGGAGGAAGGGAAAGGAGAATGTTAGCCGCTTTGAGACTCCTTCGGGTAGTGATAAAGCGGGATACCCAATCCAAACTCTTCTTCTCTTCTTGATGCAAGTAAATTTCCTGATTCATGTAGGTAATTGTATTTGCTAAGTCACACATTATATTCATATTAATTTGCCAAGTCTCACCAGAGTTGCCCTGCCCTGAGAAAAGCAGATATGTTCACCTCCTCACTATACTCCCCCGTAAAAGGATATTTAATTTGAAGGTCCCTGTATTTCTTTTATAGTGTACTTTAGTAAATAAGCATACTATTTATTAAAAATATATATATGGCAATAAGCCACCAAAGAGCTGCTTCCTCCATGTCAGTTAGGCGCTAACCCTGCCCCAGTTACAAAACCCTGAATTCCTGGGACCACTTTTCACTAAACCATCTCAAATAATTCAAGAGGGGAAATGATACTTTTGCTTCAACTTGTCTTCTTTTCAACAGCATTTGGAGGTAAATACATCTTTTCAATTAAAGAAAACGGCTTCATCTTGAGGCCTTACCCATTGTCTCACTGATAACTGCCCCCTTCCCCCGGTAACTGTTCTTTAGTGCTCCATTGGAGCAAACAGCCATTTGTGGTTCCTCCAAATTGCAATTTCTTATTATCTATCACTAAAGAGGGGAAACCGCTCAGACTTGTGTTTTCTAGGCACAACACTAGCAGAAGTATGGACAAGCATCTTAAAATGCCTTTATTTCCAGGTGCTGAATCAGAAATTCAGATGGTTGAGTCGGGGGGGGGGGGTAGAACTGTACCTATTAATCTACTTGCACTTTTTGGCGTGCTTTCGAACTGCTAGGTTGGCAGGAGCTGGGACCAAGCAACGGAAGCTTACCCCATTGGGGGGATTCGAACCACCCACCGACCTTTTGATCGGCAAGTCCAAAGCTCAGTGGTTTAGGCCGCAGTATCACCCGCGTCTCTAATCTTTATTTAGAGAAGCAATAAGAAACTTTTTTTAAGAAACAAAAATTAGGCCATGCAAAACTAATGTATTTTAACTGTTTCACAACATTCCCCAGCGCAAACTAGCTGTATTCTCTGGTTTGGGCAAGATATTATAGAACAACAACAATAGAGATTGAATTGATCTAAATTTAATGTTTCCCCTTGATTAACTTCTTTGACCAATTTCAAAGTAATTTTAAATGAAATGTACTTTCAGGCACATACTTCAAACCCATTACCCCTGCCCCCATTATTTATATATTTGATGGTTTGCATCTTTGAAATCACGGAGCCTGTGTGCATGAGGGGGATACATAAGCCCATCAAGGTTAAGAGCTATACAAATTGTGCAATGGCAAATAAGTATATTTTTGCCAGGTCACCATTTGCTTCCAGTCAGACATTGTTGAATGTCTTTGTTGGTGCTTTTATGTAAATTTCAGAGAGAGCTTCCTCTTTAAAGCAGTCAAACACACTCCCTACCGCTGTATACTAGGGACCACATTTTGGTCAAATCTCTCAAAGCATCAGGCAGGCAAAAATGATAGCTTTGCTTCAGCTTGTTTTCTTTTCAGCAGCTTTAGGAGGTAAATTCCTCATACCAGTTATCAAAGGTTGGTTCATTCTGGGTGTTGTTAACATGCAGCAGATTACTTAAAATGCCTTTCTTTCCAGGTGTCCAATCAGAGGTCCAGCTGGTGGAGTCTACAGGAGATGTGAAAAGGCCTGGGAGTTCCTCCGCCTCTCCTGTCGAGCCTCTGGGTTTAACTTTGGGGGCTATGGCATGCACTGGGTGAGACAGGTTCCAGGGAAGGGCCTGGAATGGGTGGCCTACATAAGCCACAATTCAGGTGCAATGTACTATCTGGATAAAGTGAAGGGAAGATTCACCATCTCCAGGGACAATTCCAACAGCCTCCTCTATCTGCAAATGAACAGCCTTAAATCGGAAGACACGGCTGTGTATTACTGTGGCAGATACACAGTGAGAGGAAGTGAATCTGAAGCTAGACAAAAACCCTCCTTTAATCAAAACAGAGGAGTTGCATTCTCTGCAAGATTCCACATGAAAATATGGATATTATATCAGCTGCCAGAGATCAAAGAAACCTCTTAAGATAATTTTGTCCCACAGTGACCTAGCCACTGTGATCCACGCGACGGTCACCTCCAAACTGGATTATTGTGACTCGCTCTACGTGGGGCTGCCCTTGAGAATGACCCAGAAACTCCAGCGGGTGCAGAATGCTGCAGCGAGACTCCTTACGAGGTATTCGCTGCGAGATCACATTCACCTGGTGCTATACCAGCTGCACTGGCTCCCGGTGGAGTACAGGGTCAGGTTTAAGGTGCTGGTTTTAACCTTTAAAGCCCTATACGGCCTAGGACCCTCGTACCTATGCGACCGCCTCTCCTGGTATGCCCCACAGAGAAACTTACGGTCTTCAAATAAAAACATCTTGAAGGTTCCAGGCCACAGAGAATTTAGGCTGGCCTCAACTAGAGCCAGGGCTTTTTCGGCTGTGGCTCCGATCTGGTGGAACACTCTGTCACAAGAGACCAGGGCCCTGCGGGACTTGACATCTTTCCGCAGGGCCTGCAAGACAGAGCTGTTCCACCAGGCCTTTGGCCAGGGCACAGCCTGACTCCTCCCCTCGGCAATCCTCGAGGAGCTCTGGCCCAATGGTTGCCAGTGGATTGGAATTACTTAATTTTATAATGAATGATTTTAGAATGTTGTTTATGCTGTACTTTTGTACTGTTTTATTGTTGTTAGCCGCCCTGAGCCCAGCTTCGGCTGGGGAGGGCGGGATATAAATAAAATTTATTATTATTATATTATTATTTTCCTGAGAGTTCTACATCAAACCATCACTGTAAAGACCTGTACAAACTGTGCAGCAGCAAAGAAGGAGATTTCTGACAAAGCGCAGACATGACTCTATTCCCTCACTGCCCAGAGTCTCTGTTGGTGCTTTTATACTGATGGATATGTAAATCTATAGAGAGAGCATCTTTTTTTAAGCACTCAGTGAACCTCCCTTCCCTTGCATATGTGTGACCACTTCTTGCTTAACTCTCTCAAAGAATCAGACAAGGAAAATGATAGTTTTCCTTCAACTTGTTTTCTTTTCAGCAGCTTGGGGAGGTAAATTCATTTTTCCAGTTGAAGAAAGCTGATACATTCTGGGTGTTTATAACATAGATCTGGTCTCTCAATATGCCCTTCTTTCTAGGTGTCCAATCGGAGGTCCAGCTGGTTGAGTCTGGGGGAGATGTGAAAAGGCCTGGGGAGTCCCTCCGCCTCTCCTGCCAAGCCTCTGGGTTCAACTTTGGGAATGCTTACATGAACTGGGTGAGACAGGCTCCTGGGAAAGGCCTGGAATGGGTGGCCTACATATATCCCCAATCTGATTACATTTCCTACTTGGATAAAGTGAAGGGAAGATTCACCGTCTCCAGGGACAATTCTAATAGCCTCCTCTATCTGCAAATGAACAGCCTTAAATTGGAAGACACGGCTGTGTATTACTGTGCAGGAGACACAGTGAGAGGAAGTGAATCTGTAGCCAAGCAAAAACCCTCCTTTGCCCACAGATGCTCTCTGAGATGATTCAGCTGCAAGAGACTGAAGAAACATGTAGTTCAAATGATTCTTTTTTGTCCCCTTTAGTGTGTTAACACTAAACCCCTTTAGCGTTTCTTATTTAAGTCTATGAGGCCCAAAGACATATTTTAGGTCAGAATTTTACATGGGTTCAAGCAGCAAGCTGTGGTTTAATTCCTGCTTCTATCTCTCTTTTACATGAATTATATAACACACATGATGCTCTCTGTTCATGTTTTTTTGGAAGTTAGGGTCTTCTTAGGGTTCACGTGTGTGCACTTGCCTAGGGTGAGGTCATATGATGTTTTCTTTATGTAGTGCATATACTTTATTTAGTTGTCGTAAAGCATTTTTCATGGCCTCTGGGTGTGGAAATTTCTTCATTGGGAGAAATGTTGGAGTAGGGACACCATCTCTCCACACAAGACTCTGCTTCTCCTAAAACATCTTAGTGTCTTCTTGCAAAGCAAACATATATGACAATTCAGATATGCATGTGTAACAAGGGCTTTTATTTATGCAGAGAGCCACCTATCAAAATACACAAACATTGTAAATATACATTGGTAGCTCGGGTTAAGAATTTAATTCGATCTGGCGGTCCATTCTTATCCTGAAACTGCTCTTAACCTGAGGTACCACTTTAGCCAATGGGGCCTCCTGCTGCTGCTGCACCGCCACTACACTATTTCTATTCTCATCCTGAAGCTAAGTTCTTAACCCGAGGTACTATTTCTGGGTTAGCAGAGTCTGCAACCTGAAGCGTCTGTAACCTGAAGTGTCTTTAAGTTGAGGTACCACTGTATTAGATAGATTAGATAGATGAAAGATGATAGATGATAGATAGATAGATAGATGATAGATAGATAGATAGATAGATGATAGATAGATATAGAGAGAAAGATAGATGATAGATAGATGATAGATAGATGATAGAGTCTCTCTCGTTCTGCAAGTGGATTTATACAATCAAAAGAAATGCATCTGGTGAGACTGAAAGTTATAGAGATGTTTGGTAGACAGAGGTTACAGTGAGAAGCACTGGAGGAGGAAGAGGTGTGCGGGGGGAGCACACCACCCCTGGCAGCGCGATCCTGGTGGGGTACTATCACGACTGCGCCCCCGCACACCCCTGTAGGTGGCACGCCCCGCCCCCAGGACACGTGCCACGCCCCTGTAGGCGGCACGCTGTTCCCCTGGGATGCCCCCAGCCCCTCTCCTGCCTGCTCTCTGCCCCCTGGTTCCAGAGCATGAAGCTCCGTCACTGGTGAGAAGTTTGGTAAAACTAGGTTTAATGGCATTGCATTATTGTGACAAAGATATGAACATTGCTGATTTGTTTTTAAAACACTTTGAGTATTGATAAACATGGAAAATGTTGTAAAGCAATTGTGAATGAATGAAAATGAAAAAATCAGGACAGTCAAACGGTCTAAAGGAGAATTTGGCTTCACTGGAAGGAAAACCCATAAATCTCTACCAAATGTCATTTTGCACATTAAGCATCTTGTCACAAAAGCAGACCTCTTCCGTCTCTTGTTTCTCACAAGGGGGCAGTCATGGTGCAAAGATGAGAAAACCCCGGATTCTGCCATGACTGAAATAAAATGCTGCTCGAAGTACAGTTGGTGATTTCATCTGTGAAGCAATTACTTTCTCAGATGTTTCCTGGTCAAACAACTTTCTATGAGCTCCTGAGGCTTTGAGTCCCTGGAGAAACTTTCAAGCAATTATCTCTGTGCTCATTGGCAAAAGTTTGTGGGGAAGGAGTCCATGTGCAATCTTCTTTTCTACAAATGTGGATAGCCTATAGATTGAGGCATGTGTAAACAAAATATTTGCAGTACAGCAGAGCTTCCAACTGTCCTACTTTGAGCAGAACGTCCCAGATCTACAGAAACCGCCCTGGTTTCTGTTTAAATGTCCCACTTCCTCAGCCACCAAAGGCCAAAGTCTCCTCCACAGCCACTGTGAAAAGTCATGACGGCTGATGTTCTTAACATTTTAACTATTTATTTATGTTTTTACATTGTATTTTAATTTGTGAACCATCCTGGAATTTAATGATGAAGAGCGATATATAAGTATAATAAAATCATCATCATCATCATCATCATCATCATCATCATCTCTCTCCAACTTCATTTCTTCACATTATTGCAGCCTGATTCTCCTCAAAGCATGTTCAGGAATTGCTCACTATCTTCCACAAAGTCAATCAATCAATCTTTATTACGGTCCAGAGACCCAACAAATCATTACAAATCAATCTTCCACAAAGTGTTTGGCATGCTCTGAGTGAAAGAGGGCTTGCCCACACTACTCGTATTCCTGTTTTTTTCTTTTCTCCCATCATTTTCTCCAGGAAAAGCCATGGTTTAACACTGAATAGGAACAAAAATAAACCAAGTTTTCTGTGGATTGACATTTGTTCTGGTTCAGCAGAACCAGGGAAAAGCAACTGAACAAAAGAACATCCTGGACCCACAGGACAAAGGGAAGTGTTGATGAGCCCAGAGTTTCCATGTTGCTTATGCATCCTGTGAGGGACACATGTCCACAGGTGTAAAGAGCTCTGCAAATGTCAAACAGTGTCGAAGAGACAGATTTTTGCAAAGTCCAGATGTGCCTCTAGTCATACATTGCCCAAAGTCTCTGTGGTGCATTTATCTTGATAGGTATGCAAATTTCAGCGAAAGCTTCCCTTTAAAGCAGTCACACAGCCTCCCTTCCTCTGCATATTTGGGACCAAATTTTGCTCAACACTCTCACAGGATTAGACAAGGTAAAATGATAGTTTTGCTTCAACTAGTTTTCCTTTCGGTAGCTTTTGGAGGTAAATCCATCCTTTCAGTTAAAGATGGTTGGGGTACTCTGGGAGTTAATAACATGCAGCAGAATTCTAAAAATGCCCTTCTTTCTAGGTGTCCAGTCAGAGGTCCAGCTGGTGGAGTCTGGAGGAGACGTGAAAAGGCCGGGGGAATCCCTCCGCCTCTCCTGTCGAGCCTCTGGGTTTAACTTTGGGGGCTATGGCATGCACTGGGTGAGACAGGCTCCTGGGAAGGGCCTGGAATGGGTGGCCTCCATAAACTACAATTCAGCTACAATTCACTACTTGGATAAAGTGAAGGGAAGATTCACCATCTCCAGGGACAATTCCAGCAGCCTCCTCTATCTGCAAATGAACAGCCTTAAACCCGAAGACATGGCTGTGTATTACTGTGCAAGAGGCACAGTGAGAGGAAGTGAACCTGAAGCCAGACAAAAACCCTCCTTTAATCAAAACAGAGGAGTTGCATTCCCTCCAACATTTCACATGAAAATAGGGAAAATTACAAGCCTGGTAGATGAAGGGAACGCAGTGGATGTAGCCTACCTTGATTTCAGCAAGGCATTTGACAAGGTGCCCCATGATATTCTTGTAAAGAAGCTGGTAAAATGCGGTCTTGACTATGCTACCACTCAGTGGATTTGTAACTGGCTGACTGGACCGAACCCCAAGGGTGCTCATCAATGGTTCCTCTTCATCCTGGAGAAGAGTGACTAGTGGGTGCCACAGGGTTCTGTCTTGGGCCCGGTCTTATTCAACATCTTTATCAACGACTTGGATGATGGACTCAAGGGCATCCTGATCAAATTTGCAGATGACACTAAACTGGGAGGGGTGGCTAACACCCCAGAGGACAGGATCACACTTCAAAACGACCTTGACAGATTAGAGAACTGGGCCAAAACAAACAAGATGAATTTTAACAGGGAGAAATGTAAAGTATTGCACTTGGGCAAAAAAATGAGAGGCACAAATACAAGATGGGGGACACCTGGCTTGAGAGCAGTACATGTGAAAAGGATCTAGGAGTCTTGGTTGACCACAAACTTGACATGAGCCAACAGTGTGACGCGGCAGCTAAAAAGCCAATGCAATTCTGGGCTGCATCAATAGGAGTATAGCATCTAGATCAAGGGAAGTAATAGTGCCACTGTATTCTGCTCTGGTCAGACCTCACCTGGAGTACTGTGTCCAGTTCTGGGCACCACAGTTCAAGAAGGACACTGACAAACTGGAACGTGTCCAGAGGAGGGCAACCAAAATGGTCAAAGGCCTGGAAACGATGCCTTATGAGGAACGGCTAAGGGAGCTGGGCATGTTTAGCCTGGAGAAGAGGAGGTTAAGGGGTGATATGATAGCCATGTTCAAATATATAAAAGGATGTCACATAGAGGAGGGAGAAAGGTTGTTTTCTGCTGCTCCAGAGAAGCGGACACGGAGCAATGGATCCAAACTACAAGAAAGAAGATTCCACCTAAACATTAGGAAGAACTTCCTGACAGTAAGAGCTGTTCGACAGTGGAATTTGCTGCCAAGGAGTGTGGTGGAGTCTCCTTCTTTGGAGGTCTTTACAGAGGCTTGACAACCATATGTAAGGAGTGCTCTGATGGTGTTTCCTGCTTGGCAGGGGTTGGACTCGATGGCCCTTGTGATCTCTTCCAACTCTATGATTCTATGATTCTAGGGACATTCTATTAGCTGCCAGAGACCAAAGAAACCTGTTAAGATAATTTTCACCAATTGTCTGCCCCTTCAAAAGGAGACAGACAGCTAGTCATGCAGCTGTACACCTGGGGCTCTCCCCAGGCAAAATATAATCATTTATTAGTGTTATTATTATGAATTTGTCAGTTCCTTTATCTCGCACAGGGCAATCCAATCAGACTTACAACCAAAGAAACAATAAACCCCACATAGGTATGTTAAAACCAAGAGGAAAGAAGAATACATTAAAAACAACTCACCCACTTCTAAGAGACCACAATAGTTATAGGCCAAAGGGCTGGTTATAGAGGAAAGGTTTTGCCTGGTGCCTACAGATGTATAATGATGGTTCCAGGCAATCCTCACTGGGGAGAGCATTCCACAAACAGGGATACATTTCAGAAATGGCTCCTTCTCATTTTGCCACCCTCCAGACCTCTTGTGGAGGAGGACCATAAAAAACGGCCTCAAATTATGATCTCAGGTTCCGGATCAGATCTACAAATATGTATTTTTAAAATGTGATTCAGTTCTCTTTTTCATTTACTCCAAGGGCCATCAAACATTCTATACTGGGCACTACACACACACACACCACAACCAGCTACATGCCACAACTTGTTCTATTGGCTACACTAAAGAGCTTCTTTGAAACCAAATTTCCATTGGGAAGAGAGGATACTATCAGAAATGAATTCACCCTCTTGGGTGGGCGTCATTGTCGGCTGGCATTCCCTTGCATGCCAGGATCTGACTTGGGATTCCCAGGCATCAAAGGAAGGCTCTTGGCCAAACTTGTTGCTTCAGTAATTTGCCTTGTCCACTTGCCTAATCAGTGAATCGGGAGCAAACATGGGCAACCAAGTTAAAGCTCGTTCCTCCAGTATGTAATACAGGCCCATGGCTTGTTCTGCAGCCACTTTTCATTGGATTCCCACCCACCCACTTTACATATTGCTATTTCATATTGTTCTGCTCCACCTTGCTATAGCATAGATGATCACCGTATTGGGGACCAGGTTGAAATTTTCCCACTCAGCCCTCTGCTTTTTGCCATCCTCATTGCCAATGTCACATCTTTGACAGTTTACGCATTGGATAGGCAAAGTCGTGTTCTGAGGGGAGGTTGTAGCCTTTGCCTTCAAATGGAGTATCCCATTAAAGGGATTGTGGGGAGGTACTTCTGTTGGGATGCCCAGGCAGGGGTGAGGGGCCATAGTACTCACCAGGTGCAATCCAATGGAGGAGATACCCTTTATTGCCAGAAAGGGGAGGGGTTTACCCAATATCTATGCCAAACATTTGTTGTCAATAAAGTTGTGGCCTGATTTCACCCAAGTATTGGTTGTTGTGTATCTTATTCTTGGTATTGTGGAGGACCAAAGAATAGGGAGGATGCCTTGACAAACAAATAGTGAATGTTACTGAACATGCAAATATACGTGCTTATGAGCTCCATGTTAGTGACACCTCCCCATGTAAACACAGCTTTTATATTTCTCATTTATATATTACAAATACAGGATTCCCTATGCTTTGAGGAGAGCAAGAACAAGGAGCTATGAGAATGTTATGTCATGTTCTCTACTATTCTACATAAAGATGGGATACTTATACATGTGCTATTCATATATATTTTTATTTAAAGCCTTTAAGAGAGAGCATTCCACAGACATTTCATTTCTTTGTTGAGCTGTGATATGAAGTGTTACTTCATATTTAATCTAAATTTTCTTCTGCTTCATTTGACCATATCCTTCCAGCCCAATTCCTCTCCATATTTATGGTAAGAAATTGTTCCTCCACCTTCTACGGTAGAAATACTGGGCATGCTGAAAGTGATGGAGTTTCTGAAAACCTGTGTTGCTCTTTTTTCCTGAGAGTTATACATCAAACCATCATTGTAAAGACCTGTACAAACTGCAGCAGCAAAGAAGGAGATTTCTGCCAAACTGCAGACATGACTCTAGTCCCTCACGGCCCAGATTCTCTGTTGGTGCTTTTATACCGATGGGTATGTAAATCTTCAGAGAGAGCTTCCTCTTTAAAGCAGTCAGAGAACCTCCCTTCCCATGCACATGTGGGACTGCTTCTTGCTTAACTCTCCAAGAATCAAACCAGGAAAATGATAGTTTTCCTTCAACTGGTTTTCTTTTCAGCAGCTTTTGAAGGTAAATTCATTCTTCCAGTTAAAGAAAGCTGGTACATTCTAGGTGTTCATAACATGTATCTGGTCTCTCAATATGCCTTTCTTTCTAGTGTCCAATCGGAGGTCCAGCTGGTTGAGTCTGGGGGAGATGTGAAAAGGCCTGGGGAGTCCCTCCACCTCTCCTGTCAAGCCTCCGGGTTCACCTTCAGCAGCTACTACATGGCGTGAGTGAGGCAGGCTCCTGGAAAGGACCTGGAATGGGTAGCCTACATATATACCCAATCTAATTACATTTACTACTTGGATAAAGTCAAGGGAAGATTCACTGCCTCCAGGGACAATTCCAACAGCCTCCTCTATCTGCAAATGAACAGCCTTAAATTGGAAGACACGGCTGTGTACTACTGTGCAAGAGACACAGTGAGAGAAAGTGAATCTGAAGCCAGACAAAAACCCTCCTTTTCACATGGCTGCTCTCAATTACAATCTTGAGGAACAAGTATTGCAACTTATAGTTTAACGGAATATTTTCATGTCCCCTTTTGCACATCAACATTCACCATCCCATTTTACAATGAGACCCCAAAACACATTCCAGGTTATGGTTTTGCACAGGTTCAAGCAGCACTCAGAGGCTCCAGCTATTTTCACTATACTTCACATTGCTCTTCCTTGCAGCACTCAGGTTGACACTGGACCAGGGAAAGGGTGAGATATCCATTGCTTGACAGTGTTTGAGAGGGGAGAGCATAACACTTAAAAATATAGAAATCTTGATCCTGTCTTCAACACCTTCCTATATATGGTTATATTCTTGTTTCTATCACTGTTTGTCATGGGCTATGTAACACGTGATGCTCACTCTGCACATTTCTATGGAAGTTAAGGCCTTTTTATGTTTAATTTAACATATTGGATTGAGATCACTTTCTACATGTGCGCACATGCCTGTGTTGAGATCACCTGATAAGTATGTAGTGTTCATCTATCTATCATCTATCTATCCATCTAGCCATCTAGCCATCTAGCCATCTAGCCATCTAGCCATCTAGCCATCTAGCCATCTAGCCGTCTAGCCATCTAGCCATCAATCAATCGATTTATCCATCTATCCATTTATATCTATCATCTATCTATCTATCATCTATCTATCTATCTATCTATCTATCTATCTATCTATCTCAAAAACCACTCTTTCATTAACTTTGGATGCATAAGTTCTTCATTAGGTAAGCAGGTTGAAATAGGCAGACCTTTAGAACAACACACATTTGTTCCTAGTTCTACTTTTGGAGATAACAATAGCGATTGTTTGATCAGCAAAAGATTCTACTGTTCATTTTTTATTTTATTTTTTATTTTTGTGTGACTCAAGTGTCTGGTTCATGTAGGCCAGGAGCCAGCAACAACCCATGGGCACATATGGATATCAGAAAAATCTGTTATGGGCACTATGCACAAACACCAC